GATGCTTTGTCTTGTTGTCGGCTACTCAATTTGTTTTGACTTTCAATGTTTTTGAATTTATTTTGCACCCAGATTTGAAACAGTAGTGGGTTGGGTCCACTGACCTTACAAGCAATTGAAAATTTTGATTCTTAGAGTCGGCTAATTCACATTTATGCAACAATTTGCATTGAGAAGCCTCATGTCTATGAAGGTATGATCCCTTGATATGATAAATAGAAAACCCAAAGAGTTGCATGTAATGTTAAAATATGTTTTGCTTAATGTATTGAAATTTCAATAAATTATTTGAATGGAAGGCGATGTGTGCATATTTCACAAATATCTTTCCCCGACAATAACGGAGTAAGAAACTGTATTCAACAATCTTAAATCTAGTATTGTACATCCTTCTAATATAAATAGAAAGAACACCAAGTCTCTTTGAAGATAGATAGCAGATGTTAGAAAAATCATAATGAAGAACTTGTATATTTGTTAGCTAGCCTGTGTGTATTGAAAATGACACAATCTTGAATTATAAGTCCTGTTTGAATCTTGTTTGTTGTTACTTGAAAAATACTTTGTTTTTTATTTCGTTTTATCAAGTTTGAATGCTTAATATCCGAGGGTGTATGTTAATTATACATACTGTTATTAGTACAAATTGATGGTCTTAATTCTTTTTCTATATTCTTAAATTGCTCTGATATTTCATATTGTGCTTGCAGAAGTTCCTAGTGCCTTTCGGATCTTTGCGTTTCGTTTGTTGTTGGCTGCTTTTAAACATGTGCTGTCTTTTTTTAACTTGCAGCAAATATTTGAGCTTGTCTAACCAGGTACTATTTTTTAACCCCCATTTATGAATGTTGCTTTGAGTTGGTTTTAGTTTATGGGATTTGACAGGTTTCGTCAACATCTAATTAGCATTACTTTACTTTGGTATTTCTAAAAGGATTGTCCAAGGTAATTTGAAGAATGCATGGTGACCTTGCTTGTTAAAGTTCTTCTATATGGTATCTTGTTAAAGTCATACTATATCGTATCTTGTTAAAGTTCATAATTCTCCATTTGTCATTTAGTAAACTAATTGGCCAAATATTTTTAATGATGTATTTTCCCCTTCTAATGATTATCAGGCAAAAAGTCCGAAGTTTGTTAAATCTCCAGCTTATGCGTGATAAAAAGGTATTCATTCGTGAAAATATTTCAAATTATGATATATATTAGTAGTTTAGTGCTTGTGGGATTTGTTTCTTCTCTGTTTGAATAGGGACAAGTCCAATACTTTATCGTGGTGCAACTAGATGGAAGCGAGTACGAGTCTTATCCAGAATTGTATCCCTAAGGCTGCAGCAAGAGAAGGTGTAAAACCCTGATATGAAAACTTTATTTTTCTACAGTTATTGTGTAGATAATTTCGTACCGCCCAGGCGGTTTTGTTTATTTAGAAATGGACAACGAGGGTAGAATATAGAAAATGTAACTTCTATGTGACGGTAATGATCCGTTTCATCAATGGAAAGTTCTTATTTTAAGTGTTTGATACTTTGATTGAATGTTTTGTTAATGGGAAATGTGTTGTTTGTTTATTGAGAATGTGTGTTCTTTTATTTTTATTGGCTTGAAGTTTATGAAAAAAAACATTAGAATATGTGTATTAAAAAAATCATTAGAATAATACAGCAATGAAATATAATTTTAATTAATTACAACTTTTGCGACGAATTTAGCAATGGGTATCCCTCTACAAACTTAGCGATGAAATTGGCAATGGACTGTTTGCTACGAATATTGCGACATATTTGGTGACGTACTCATTGTTAGATATAGCGATGGATTTTTCAATGAATATTTCCGTTGCTATATTTAGCAACAGATTTATATGGTGTCGTAGCAAAAAATTAGCGACGCGGCTTTTATCTACGGATTTAGTTACGGGTCTGATCTGTCGCTAAATGGGGATTAGTGACGGATTGTGGCTAGTTAGCTACAAATTTGTCCGTAGCTAAAACGCGATTTTCTAGTAGTGTACGGATCTCCAACTTCTTCAGGCAAGGCATTATCGAATATTTTTCTTCTTCGGCCGTAGTAATGTCCTCCCACTCGTTCCACTTCGGACAGCTGCAAAACGACAGTTTTTTTAACTTGGGAAAGCCACCATCAATAATATTAGTACTTGACGAAGACGAACACGTTGTTGTTGTTGTTGTTGTTGTTGTTGTTGTTGTTGTTGTTGTTGTTGTTGTTGTTGTTGTTGCTGCTGTTATTCCCCGGAATTCCCGTCCGACATATTCCAATTCAGATAAATAGTCAATCGAAAGAGTCTGGAGTAGCGGTAGTTTACCCAGCGGCGGAAGCGACGGAAGGTATTCACAAAAGAAGAGATCGATAGACGTGAGTTGGTTGAGGGGCGACACAATCCACCCCGGAAGTCGGGAGCCGTAATAGAACATAATAGTCAGCTGTTGGAGGTTCGGATGCGGATGAAGAGCATCTAGTACGTCGTTCCGAACCGATGACGCCTCTCTCACCTTTCGGCCTAAAAAAACAATTCTCAAACCTTGAATGCACGCCTTTTTCCCCAACTCCGCTTCGCGAGCGTCCTCTACCGAATCGCGACAGCCACTAATTACTTCGATCCACAACTCCAGTTTCCCACCAAGTCGGTTAAAATTCTTCAACCACCCCACCTGGCTCTCATCACAAGGAAGGACTTTATTCAACGTGACTAGCCTCGTTAATTCGGCTATTCCTTTAGGATATTGCCAAAGAGAACTAGTACCTTCGTTATACAAATGTTCGAGCTTCATCAGCCTATGGATCCCTTGCGGAAGTCCACACAGACTACGACACCCGTTAACATTTAAACTTTCTAATTTACTCAAATTGCATAGGCTCTCCGGCAACTCTGTAAGTAGCTTATTCTCGCTCAAATCCAACCGTATCAACCAACTCAAATTCCCAATCTCCGGCGGAATTTCTTGTATCCCGGGCCCGCAATATTCCACCCAAAGAAATTGCAAGTTATACAACTTACAAATGGACTTCAAATCGTCACCGGAAAATTCGTTATAACGCCACAGTAAAACACGCGAGTTAACGCCACAATGAAACACGCGATTTAACGCCACAATGAAACACGCGATTTAACGCCACAATAAAAAACGCGAGTTAACGCCACAGTGAAACACGCGATTTAACGCCACAATAAAACACGCGATTTAACGCCACAATAAAACACGCGAGTTAACGCCACAATGAAACACGCGATTTAACGCCACAATGAAACACGCGATTTAACGCCACAATAAAACACGCGATTTAACGCCACAATAAAACACGCGAGTTAACGCCACAGTGAAACACGCGATTTAACGCCACAATAAAACACGCGATTTAACGCCACAATGAAACACGCGATTTAACGCCTCAGTAAAACACGCGAGTTAACGCCACAGTAAAACACGCGAGTTAACGCCACAGTAAAACTTAAAATAAATAACGCAAGGATTTTTTAACGTGGAAACCCTCCAAATGAGGAGAGAAAAAACCATGGGGCCTAGCCCAAATCGGAAAATAGATGTTTATTGATGGTTTCTTGCATGTACAAGGTATGTCATTTCTCGATTTTGCTAACTAACTGCTTCTGTCTTTCTCTCTCTCTTCTTTTTTTTTTTTTTTTTTTTTTTTTACGCGAATAAGCGCTTCAGATGTATTATGTTCCAAGCTCGTGGCAACGGTTTTCCTTCTACGTCTGCCAGCTCGTATCCCCCGTCGGCCAAACATTTTGTGACCATGTATGGTCCTTCCCAATTGGCCTCTAACTTTCCTGTGTGCTTTAGTGCGTCAGCTCGTCGTAGGACGAGATCACCGATCTGGAATGAACGAGACCGTACCCCTTGATCGTATCGAGCTTTGATCAGGTTCTTATTTCGTTCCATGTGTAGATACGCCGCTTCTCGGAGGTCGAAAACCTCATCCAGTTGTGTCCTCAAGGCATCATCGTTTGTCTTTTCATCAAATGTGGCGATGCGGAGTGTGTCCATTGCTACCTCGACCGGAATAACAGCTTCAGTTCCATAGGTTAACCGAAATGGTGTCTCGCCAGTAGCTGCTTTGGCTGTTGTCCGGTAAGACCAAAGGACTGAGGGCAGCTCGTCTACCCAACTTCTCCCTAGCTCGTCTAATCTCTTCTTCAAACCGTTGACAATGGTCCGGTTTGTGGATTCTACTTGACCATTGGCCTGGGGGTGTGCTACCGCCACAAACTTCTGTGTTATCTTCATTTCCTCGCACCATGCGCGAATTTTCTTGCCGTTGAATTGAGTGCCATTATCCGATACGAGGCTTCGAGGCAGACCAAACCGACAACAGATATTCTTCCAGATGAAGTCCATGACCTCGTCCTCTGATATTTTTGATAAGGCCTCAGCTTCGACCCACTTAGTAAAGTAGTCTACCGCAACAATGATGAACTTTTTCCGGCCAGTGGTTTGAGGGAATGGTCCTACCAGGTCAATTCCCCATTGAGCAAAGGGACATGGGGCACTCATGATAATCATCTCCTCCCCCGGTTTATGGATAAGTGGGGCATATTTTTGACATTGTATGCAGTGTTGAACGTATCGGTGTGTGTCTTTTTTCATGCCGGGCCAATAATATCCTGCCCGATATAACTTGTGTATGAGGGTCCGAGCTCCTCCGTGCTCACCGCAACCACCTCGGTGAACTTCGTCAAGGACGTGTTTAGCCTCCTGCTTTCCCAAGCACCTCGCATCTATTTTGGTGAAATTCCTTTTATATAATATCTCGTGCCGCACGTAAAAGTGCCTCGCTTTATATGCCAAGCGATGTTGTTCCCTTTTTGTGCCAATTCGCTCTCCTCTGAAATGCTTGAATAAAGGTGTTCTCCAGTCAGGCTCTTCATCGATCATCATGACTCCCGGTGCCATATGTACATACATTACATTTGTACCACGATGTGCTAGTTTATAGAATGAAATTAAATATAAAATTTTATGGCTTTTGGTAATTTGGATATGTGTTGCATTTCTTTATAGTTGGTTAGATGATTAAATTCGTTTCCCTAAAAACCTCTATAACATTGATAGTATTAGAGTTGTAGAGCCAAAATCTAGCTTTTATTTATATATTTTTATTCTATAATTAATAAATAAGATTATATTGTTTTATTTGAGAATTTGTACGGGTGATTAGCCAATAGTGCATCCATTCCGAATTTATTTAAATTCCTGACTCTGCTAGTGCCGTATGTACACCAAGAGTTTAAATACCTTAGCTAAGTAATAAAAACTATCCATTTAAGTTGTCTTTAATATTTTTCTAATTTAAATTAAAAAAAAATAGAAGTTTCAAATTTTGTCATCATTATATATATAATAAAGTGGGGCTTAAAAAATATTTACCCAAAAAAATAACACATATATCAAACTCATTTTTATCCGTATAATTCTTGATTTTTAATGTTATTATTCGAAATGAAACAGGATATAAACCTGGTGGTATGTGGCCGATCGAGAACCTGAAAGATCCAGGTGTGGTATATGCCGCAAAATTCGCAGTGAAAGAGTATAATAAGAAGGCTAATACAACCTTACAGTTTGTAACTGTAATCAAGGGAAAACAACATACGGTTGCAGGCTCTATATACCATCTATTGATCTTAGTTAGACAGAAAAGCACAACATCTCCCGAAAAGTATGAAGTAGCAATTTCGGATAGACCGTGGGAGACAAAGGGCGGTTTCAAGCTTGAATCATTTAAAAAGCTATCAAAGTTAATTTGGATAGATGGTTTAAATAATTAGAGCAACTCCAATGCTAAATATCAAAATTGAATTATCAAATATTCATTTGATATTTGAGATAATATTTTGATATTGATTAAAATTCTTCTACTCCAACCAAGGTTATCAAATTAATAATCAATTGGAACTTTATGGGTGAATTTTTTTGTAATTGACACATGTTAATTTGTGATTGGATCTTTAGATAGTTACAATTTTTATTAATTTCCAGAGGTGAATTATCAAAATAGAACCCTCATTTGATAATTCCATTGGAGTTAAAAATTTCTATATATTCATGTGTAAATGGTGGTTAAAGGTTTGAATATCATGTTTGATAATCCCATTGGAGTTGCTCTTAGAGAAATTTGACAAAATCCTCCATCAGACATGTGCAGTAACTAGCCCCAATTTATTTCACATTTTTAAGATAAATCCAAAAGGTCTTTTATTAATAGAAAATAATTAAGTATCAACATTATATCCTTACTTTATTATAACAAATTAGGGTTGAAAATACATTATATGTAATATATTTTTCATTTACATCACATTCTCAATCAATCCACAAATCTCGCTCCTTGTTTTGAGGCTACCGTTTCATCGTAATGGGAATTTTCATTCTGCAAACGGTTCCACGATAATGTATCATGAGTAGGAAGGCGACATTTCGATTATACAGAGTGATTTTGGTGATTTGTGTATGTTTCGATTCCAATTCTTATAGCGATTGCACCTATCATATTTTCACGATATCTGATTAATTTGATAAGTGATTATATGTTGGTTATCCAACAGACGACCAACGAGATCCTTTGAAATCCGACAGACGACCAACGAGATCCTTTGAAATTTGACAGACGGTCCCCCATCATCCTCTTTGACGAGTACGGTTTCACCTACTTGAAGACGATCCCGACCTTTCCTTATTAAATCCACTATTGCACAAAGTGGTTTTTGTCATTTTTATTTATTTAAATCCACTATTTGCACATAGTGGATTTTGACATTTCCATTTATTAAAATTCACTATTAACATTGATATTTAAAGTGGATTACGTTAATTTCATAATGGTTTTCGATAAATTTAAAATAAATTTCAGCAAATAGTGGATTTCAATTCTTGATAAATTTGCTGGAAAAAAACTACTACCCATTGTTATATTTTACGAAGAAATTAAAAAAAAAAAATCATTTTTTTGGAAAAAAAAATAAAAATAAAAAATGGGAATAAGGGATAATTATATTTTTAGTCCCTATATTATACATTTTTTTTTAATTTTGGTCCTTCAATTTTTTTGCTATAAAATTGGTCCTCAAATAATTGATTTGCTTACACTTTCCGCCAATCCCGTTTGATTTTAGAGTTAGATTGGATGGATAAAACACGTGTAAAGGCATGTGACCATGCTATTTCAACAACTTTCTTAAAAATATTTACGATTTAGCCCCAATTTTAATTTATTCCTACAATTTTGCACAAAAAGAACAAAATGTTAATGGCAAATGGTACCCCTATTACAGAAATTGTCCCTATATTATAATAATTTGTAAAAAGAACCCTGTATCTCTGTTCTTGATTTATTCTTCATCTTCTTCTCTTTCCATTTTTTTTTAACATGTCTTCACCTTCAGAACTCAGCGATTTCATAGTAAAATTGGTAAAGGAACCGGGAGTTTTAGTAAGAGGAAAAATGAGGCGCACACGCTGTCTGTGAAGTGACACCGCAACAGTTTCCACCTTCAGAAGCCGCTTCTCCGCCGCAGATTCCAATTACAGAAAATGTCCGGGCAGGGATAAAGGGGTTCGACAATGGGTAGTTGGGAAAAGAAGGTGCCGGAGTGTTATGGACAAGTGTCGTGTACGAACAAAGCCACATATTATCGGTAACAATGTGTTTGTACACGACACGTGTACATCCAAAATCCCAATACTTTCAACTACACCATGATAATTACCAATTGAAAGTTCTCTTTATCCCTAACTTATTTTCAAGTAAATTATAACCATTAATTTCAACTTTAGCACCACTATAAAAAAAAATAGAATGACTACTATTATATCACATGAGTTCACCATCAAATATGGCACCTACCTCATGCTCAATCCTACTTACATTCCTCTTGATTTTGGTTGTTCCTATTACCAGTGACGTGCCAGTTTGGCCGATATGGGACCCACAAGACCCGAAAGTTGTATCTATCGCAAAATTTGCAGTGACAGAACACAATAAGAAGGCTAACACAATGTTGCAATATGTATCTATCGGCAATGGATATTATTCATTGTATAGCCAAAAACACAACTATCAAGTCTATTTAGGATTCAGAGCCGTAGATCGTAACAAGTCCACCTCTCCGTTATTATATGACGCATCTGTTTTGTACAGACCGCTGCAGAAAAATAATTCTATGGAACTCGATAGCTTCACCCCATTTGAAGGTACATTTACTTTATAATTTATGATAATTAATAATATCTCATGAACACTATATTATATATACGTACATTTGTAAAATAAAACTAATTTAAGTTGTCTTTAACATTTTACGAATTTAAATTAAATACCTACAAGTTTTGAATTTTTTCATCATTATATATATAATAAAGTGGGCATAAAAAATATTTACCAACAAAAATAACACACACACACACACACACACACACACACACACATATATATATATATATATATATATATATATATATATATGTATATATATATATATATATATATATATATATATATATATATCAAACTCATTTTTATTCGTATACTTTGTTTAATTGTTATTATTCCAAATGAAACAGGTTATGTGCATGGTGGTCTGTGGCCGGTCGAGAGCCCATTAGATCCAAGAGTAGTGTCTGTCGCAAAATTTGCAGTGAAAGAGTATAGTAAAAAGACTAATACAACCCTACACTTTGTAACTGTAATCAAGGGAAAAGAGTATATGGTTGCAAGCTCTTTATACCATCTATTGATCTTAGCTAAACAGAAAAGCACTACATCTCCCAAAAAATATGAAGCAGCAGTTTGGTATAGACCGTGGGAGATAAAGGACGACGGGTTCAAGCTCGAATCGTTTAAAATACTATCAAAGTCAATCTGGATAGACTAATATATATATATATATATATATATATATATATCGACATCCGGTAGCATGAGATATTGATTTTGGAATAAAATTTAAATGCGGAGGTTGATGACTTTTTGTAATTTTGGATTTGTGTTGCATTTCATTTTATATACTAAGTTAGAGTTCATTTCTCATTATGTTCTACTAGTGTTGATAATGTTAGGAGTTGTAGAGTATTTCCTCGCTGTGATGATGCACGAGATAATATTTCAAAAGTGGAAATTAGAGAAATAGTAAAACTGACGAGAAAAAATAAATTAATAGTTACAAATTAAAGATGCCATCACTTTGTTTTTTTAGGATTGAATAACAATCTGCTAGATTTTCTATGAAAAAAAAAGGCTAGAAGATAGGAGTCGGAAATATGACAACAGCACCTAATATTATAATGAAAAACGAAAAAAAAAATAATTACTTTGAGAAATTAATACTATGAAAAGTTTTCATACGAAAAAAAAGAAAAAAAAAAGGGTAATAAATTAGTTAATACCTTGGATAGTAGTGTTCGATTTCTCTATGTAAGGTCTCTCTCTGTCTCTCGTTTTTGCTGGTACACCCCAAATTGATTTTATATATGCAAATTTTTTTTGCTTAAACTGTGATCACCTCTATCAATCTATGTAGGTATATATTATATTAAGTTATTGTCTTTTGTAATGGAAGGTAATGGCTGATTGCAAATAGAATAAGTGTTGGTCTAGAAATCATAACTGGTTGTTGATAGCCAGTTTGCTCAAAATTAAATAGCATGGGGTTTCTAGGTGAATATTATATTAGCAGTTTGATGGGTTTTGTAGGATATAAAGTACTGTGAGTAACCTTTTGCAGTTTGAATTTTTCTTCAAGTTCCTTTTATATATCGAAGAAGAACATGTGTTGTTATACAAATAAGATTCCCTGAACCATTTTTGCTACTTTATGGTGACTAACAAAAGAGAAAGATCTTTTTTTGTTTTTTCAGGAATGTCCATGTAATCATTCGCTTGAGATCTGAGGACTTGGGCAAACATAAACTAGCAAATTAACAAATTTTGGTAAGAATTTGTTTATTCATGGTAGAGAGGTTGTCATCAAATGTTTTTCATTGGACTTGCTTTCACTATTGTTTATGTGCTCAGTTTAGTAGCTTTTCTTTTCTCACAATCGACAGGTTTGTATTTTAATAAGTCTAGAGTACTTTCGAGATTCCTGTTTTGGTAGCAGGATTGATGCCGGACTCGGAAATTAACTTCAGTTATAGCAATGTGGTAAGTATTAATATAGTATATAAACTTTTGCTCTTCAATCAAACATAGGTTTCTTATCATTTATTTTGATATTTTATATCCTGTGTGAACACATAAACCATCTCTTACATGATTGCTTATGGTCTAAGTGTTGCTGCTACGTAGCGAAACAAGATAAGAACTCTCTCTCTCTCTCTCTCGTATTGTTTGTGAATTCCACCTTATTATTATTTTAGTAAAATAACCTAAGCTCTTTCTTCTTGACAGAGATGTTGGTATCGACGTCATGTGGTAGCTAGACAGGTTAGCATCAATGTACTATACAAGAGCTCTGTTTTATTTTGCTTAATCAAACAAAATGTACATTGGGTTTTCTTTTTTTTTTGATCATTTTTTGTTTCGTTTGTGGAAGACTAACAGTGATGTAGATGAGTTTATCACTTTTTAGAATGATAGATAATTTATTGTAATGAATAATTATTTTAATGAAATGATATTTTTTTATGGATAATTGTTATTCAATTATTGTATTTCCAGTAAATTATTTGAAAATGGAAAATATATAGTAATTTTTTTTTTTGTGAAAGTAAGTAAAAACTACAAGATGCATATAAATGTTGTTAAAATTCTATTGCAAGATGCACTGGTCTGTGGTAGTAAAACCAGCCACAACATGCATATGAATCTTGTGAAAGCTATAGCGCAACATACGATGTATGTTGTTGTAATATAAATGACAACGTCGTGTACCACGTACTTTGCACGTTGTTATTATGCAGTAACTTTTAACAACATGTTGGTCAACCACGTGCGCCCGAATGTTGTCGAAATAGTCTGACAACGTACTGCGCGTGTTGTTAAAAGGACTTTTTCTTGTAGTGATATAGTCAACGTATTAACTTTTTATAAAAGAGTTTTTAAATAGTTCTTTTCTGGACTTTTAGACTTTTTTATGAATAAATTTATGACGAAGGGCTTATTTGTAACATGCAAAAAAATTAATTGAGATCTACTTTTAAGTAAAGGAGACCTTATTAAACTAGGGTTTGTTCACAATATAAATTTGCTGGTGTTCTCAGGAAGAAAACAAAAGTAAAAACAAATCTAGAATGAGAAAGCGAATAAACTTGGTGCAGGTAATTCCTGAAGAAATTACCGAAGAAATCTTGTGCTATCTACCGGTGAATTCCCTATTGAGATTCAAGTGCGTTTCAAAACGATGGCGTTCGTTCATCTCCAGTGAATATTTCACCAAGAGACACCTCAGCAAATCGCACTCCGACAAAAAAGATAACGGTAATAAGTTCATCTTCAGCTTCAAAGGTAAACAAAACAGTTTAACGACCCGTTTCTTGAGTGTCGGGTCGTCGTTCTCTCTTGACGAAGATGAACCCATCGTGACGACTAGTTTGGATATTCAAATTCGACCCAGGTCCGAAATTCAGGTCGTGGAATCATGCAACGGGCTAGTACTCGTCGAAAATATTTATACAGGACATTTGATTTGTTGGAACCCTTCAACTAGAAAAACCAAACACATTGAAAAACCCTTCGGTTTCGGTTTCGGTTGTGTCGAAGAAGAAGGAGGATACGGGTTCGGGTACAACGAATTGACGGACGAGTACAAGGTTGTCCGCGTTAGATACAAGGAATATTATGAGACACGGACACATGCGCATATGTATAGTTCCAAGGCTGGTTCTTGGAAAGAAATCGAGGATTTGGATAAGCATCTAGCGGGAAGACCCGGTAAGTTTGTCAATGGAAGGCCACATTGGTTGATTTTCGGACGCAGTCCCGACTGGGAAATTGTTGCTCTTGATTTGGTGGAGGAGAAATACGAAACTGTGGATTGGCCGGTGTGCTTTCCGAAGGTCAATATGTTCCCACCCTACTTGGAGAATACGGGAGGCTATCTTACTTTGATGGATTGCAACAGTTATGCGAATGCGATGAGTGTATGGGTTATGACACAGTACGGTGCGCCAGAATCTTGGACTAAGATTTGGACATTTCCGAATTCTTTCAATCTTCCGATAGAGCACGTATGTCGTAGTCCAACGCCGCCGTTGTGTTTGAAGAGGAATGGAGATGTTGTGGTGGCTCTTGGATCGGTGATTGTTGCTTACAATGGTGAAAATTTGTTACGGTGGTCTCAAGTCGATAAGTTCGATCGTTTTATTGGCTCCATTTCTTATGTTGAAAGCTTAGTTTCACCATTTGGTAGTGACGAAATCTTAGTTTCACCGGCCAGCTGGATGATGACGATATGAATGAAGCTACTAATTATGACTATGTTGCGCGCGAACAGCAAGAAAACGAAGCAGAAGAATAAGGAGCTGACTTAGAAACCATGGTTTGTTCCATCATATACTCCTTTTATGTCCTCGAGTTTAGATTTCAATAAAACTATATTTGTTTTGAGTTTTTCCATGTATTTTTCTTCTTTTTTTCTTATTTTCAAAAGTTAGTCCTCGTACATTTAAATCTCTATATATTAATACAATCTGGACTGACAAAATTTTATTAATTTAGCGAAGTATTAAATTATCGAGCTAATAATTTAGTAGGCCTTGACCGAGTCGGGACCGTAAGAATTTATTATTTAAAGGAAGTTATTAATCTATCGAGATACTACGGTATATGGTTAAACAACATAAATCCCCCATGTGTTAAGCACAATCTGCAGCAAATTAGGCAAAAGAGAATTTTGTTTGTTATTCCAGGTGAGTTAGTTTTTTTATCTCCACTTATTTGTTAATAAGTAACCCAAGATGGGCCTATAGCTAATTCCCACTATATAATTCGTCAAAAAAATATAAAAAATTCCCACTATATATATTTAATTTTTTTTCTTACATTTGTAAGTAATTTTGCCATAGACTTTCTTGGTCAAAATGGAAGGAATTGTCACATGAAATGAATGTGATGTTAGTAAACGTCCAAGGACTAAAATTGCAATCTCAATTGTATGAGGACAAAAATCAAATAAGTGGAATAGTATAAGGGCCAAAATTGTAACTATCCCGACATCACGTGCGACTGACGTAACAATTCCATCCATTTTAACCGAGAAAATTGACAGGAAGAATGTGATGTTTAAAATAGCTGCACATTTGAGAAATAATATTATCGCCAAAATTGTTCGAGGGCTAAAATGCTAAACGTAGAAAATCCCGTTAACTCTCACTCAAATGCACGTTTTATCGCTATCATTATGTATTATCATATTCATATACTGTATATATGTCCCACTATCCGCTTCCAATATTCAAAGATTCCGTACGGTCGAGCTTCGCAATAGAATGGACAAGACAATTACCCGAGCGTCACTCCCTCGTTATTACAACCCACATCACCAGTTGTAAAACACAACTAAACACGACCAAGAACACAATCGTAAATATATCCCAGCTTTCTCCGGCGGCCCATGTAAATCAAAGGTCGAAATTTAATCAAAAATAAATAATTGACTCTAAAATTATCTGGGACTCATAACAAAAGAAAGAAAATGTATTGATCCTACTGCTGCTTTATTTGCTTAATCCAAAGGTGATGTTGCATGACTTGAGTTTAGCCAGTGCAGTGATCTAATCTCATCAAAGTTGTTAGTCTTTCTCCAACAAGAATAAGCTATACATTTTCTGGAAACCATAATTTAATTTTGGTTTTACGTGGCATTTGGTATTCCATATTCTGTTTATGAAAATAGGAAGTTGAACTGTCATGTTATTAATCTTTGTTAATGTTATGAATTGTGAGTGGATAAATAGCCAATAATCTGTTAAATGGACTTTATATTGCTATCGGTAGTTTTGCATTAGATGGTTATATTGGAATTGTCATGTTTTAGTTACTCCGAGACTACACTTTCGGTGGCTTGACTACCTCTATTAGTTAGTGATATAAATTTTAGGTGAGATTCCATTCTCTCTTGTACTTTGGCTCAGAATCACTTTACTCCACTTTCATTCTCGATTACATTGATTTGTCTCCCCTATACTTGAAAAATTGTCTCAAGGTGGTCCTCGCTGTTAGTTGTCAGACATTTGACCTTAACACCGTTTGACCTAAGCTCTGAAATTACAAAACCGCCACCCCTCCCAATTAAATAATTATTTAACATTTAAAAAAAAAAAGCAAAAAAAAAAAAAACAAAAACAAGAAAAAACAAAAAAAAAAAATTTCAAGATAACGAGAAAACATAGTTCACGACGTCTGCCACGATTTGTTTTTTTTTTTAATAATTATTTAAACTAGGAGGGGTGGTTTTTTTGTAATTTTCAGACATAGATCAAACGGTGTTAATGTCAAAGGTCTGGAAACTAACGGCGGTGGCCACATTTAGACAATTTTTCAAGTACATGAGGGCAAATAGATGCAATTGAGAGTATAAGGGGGTAAAGTCATATTCAACCAAAGTACAAGGGGGAAAGTGGAATTTACCCTCAATTTTAATCACTTGACTGATGGTTTTATGTTGTCTAATGGTAGAGAAATATAACTTGGAATTAAAAGCTATTTCTCATGTAATTTATTTCTATAAACTTGTTTCCGTGATTTTTATTTTGAGGGCGAAAATTTTAATGCCCTTTGTTTGTTTTATCTTCTATATTATTTGAACTTTTAATGATTTTATTTGTTCATGAATTTCTTATATTTTTCAATTCATATTTTTTCCCTCTAAATGTTAGGGTCCAGTGGCTATAGATAGTTTCATTTTCAATTTAGTGAGTTTTGCGTTTAGTCCAAATTAATAATCACGAGTTAAGCTTTAGGCTCTGATTGAATCATCCATCTCCTTCCTGCAGGCAATACCTCTCACCTTATGTAAAACACGTGTATTCGCTGTCGTGCTCTCATAAGAAATTTAAAAGTTATTAGATATTAAATTCCTTTAACACAAATCTAAACTTGGCAAGCATGCTGCTTTCTGCAATTTCTTCGATCTGGTTCCCGTAACTATTCAGGTGAGTTTCAGAGAGATATTATTATAGAAAATCTACGAGCCATTCAAGGGGATACCAGAGTGAATTATGCCAGTATACTTTATATGATTTATCAATGTTGTTATTGGAGATATTAGTATTGAATGATACACTTCACTAATAGCTTAAGCTTTTGGTTGATGTAGCCATTCAACATGGTATCAGAGTCAGACCAAATGAAAGGTTATGAGTTTGAATCCCACCGCCACCCATTTCAAATATTTCAATTGCAAGGCTTCAAATGTAAGTCGCTTGAACTTTAGGGGGCGAATTAGAGATATTAGTATTAAATAATAATAGCTTAAGTTTTTGGTTGAGGTGGTCATTCAATAGTTATATTTGGTTTTCTTTTTTTCCCCTTATAACAAGTCGATGTGATCCGTCAAAACTACATATAAGAATGTAGGATGTACACCATATTTCTTCGACATAGCAGACTGGGGAGGTACAACCGTACAAGTGAACTCAACAACAAATGGATTCTCCGATCCATGGTCAAGTCACATGATGATAAAAGCGATAGGGGAAGGACAAAATGAAGCACCCAAAATGCATAAGCAGAAATTTGAGCTCAATCTTGTATTCACGAATGCTTTTACTTCATAGTTGGTTTATAGGAAACTAAATGAAGAAATGGTTGTACATGTAGCCCGTTCTTTGTTTTGATATTTCATGACATACCAATGGCTGAAGACAAACTGTTTTAGTTTCATTAATATATTTCATTGTTTTATTTAGAACTGTAGCAGGTTTTACTGTATAAAGGTCAAGATTATGCTCTTGCTACGCTCTTTTAGAATGCATTCAAATAGACAACCAACTCAGTGCTCTAGAAGAAAGAAGACACATTTTACTACCCTTGAGATGCACGTTCCCTTGAGATATATCTTTAATCTTTATAACATATCAAATATATCATTGTATGCAAACTACCAGTGAAATCCCTATTGAGACTCAAGTGTATTTCAAAATGATGGCGTTCTTTCATCTCCAGCAAAGCAAATATTTCATCAAAAGACACCTCTCAAGAAATCGTGTGCCGACGGAACAGATAATGGTAGTAAGTTCGTATTCAGCTTCGGACATCTAAATACCCGGCCCATTTCTTGAGTCTCGGTCATTTTCTCTTCGTGATGAACCCGAAACTAATTTTGGTATTCAACCCATGAATTGCGTGGTTCGGATCTTAAGATCCTATAATGGGCTTGTAATTTGATTACGTGGAATCCTTCAACTAGAAAAACTAAGTACATTAAAACCGCCTTTTTTTTCCTTTTCCGAATGATATGTTATTCATATGTGGGTTTGGGTATGATGAGCCGAACGATGACTACTAGAGTGAATTATGCCAGTCTACGTTAGAGACCGGCGGTGGCGGCAAAAATGGGAGTCAAAATTGGAATAGAGGTCAAAATTGGTTAATTGAGCTCAATTGGGGTGTAAATTGTGAAATTGGAGTTGAATTAGGGTTTTAAAAAGTTGGGGTGATTTGGTATATATAAAAGAGTTTTCTTTATTTGCAGATAAGTTTGAATGAGTTGGATTTGTTCGCAAGACAAAAAAATTTGATGTCTTTTTTTTAAATAAAGTGCTCTTGTAATGAGCCTATTTGCCACTTGTCGATATAAAAAAAAAACAATTGACAGTTATTTGTAGGAAAAAATACAGTTTTCGTCCCTCAAGTCTGCACCGATTTCACATTTGGTCCCTCATGTTCACAAAAAAACACATTTGGTTCTTTATGTTTCAAAAATTCTACATTTTTAGTCATTTCCATCAATTTTACGTTAAAACTAACGGAATCAAGCGTGTCCCATAACTTGCTCAACTAACGGTCTAACGGAAATTTGACGGGAATGACCAAAAGCGTTAAATTATTGGAACATGAGGGACCAAATGTATTTTTTGTGAACATATGAGACCAAATGTGAAATCCATTCGAACAGAAAAGTGTATAATTTTCCCGTTATTTGCAAAAGTGCTTTTAAATTGAAAAAACAATTCAGTACGTACCTTTTGAATTAGGGGTAATGGCAAATAGTCCCATGACAAGGGCACTTAATTAAAAGAGGGACATCCAATTTTTTTTGTCTTTCAAATAAATCCACCCCATTCAAACTTATTTGCAAATAAGGAAAATCTCTTTATATATACCAAAATTACCCCCAATTCAATGAAACCCAATTCAACTCCAATTTCATGATTTACACCCCAATATAGCCCAATTTCATCAATTAACCAATTTTAACCATAATTTCAATTTTGACACGCCACCACCGGAGACCGCCGGTCGCCGCCGTTGACCGGCGTTGACTTTTTTTTTAACTTTTTTTTCCTGAAATTTTTTTCCGGCCGGTCAACTGCCGTTGACCGCCGGG